AAGTTTGCAGAAATGGAGCGTTCTGCTTTGTGAAAAAGACCTTCCAGTGTCAAAATCCGAAATATAAACAAATTACCTCACAAACTACGCATAAAATGCCAACCTATATTTATATTATACCACGCTATCTATATTCCGTAAAGTATATTAGGGAATGTGAAAATGGAAAGCGATATCTGTTATATGTTCCTATTTTTTTCACACCACATTTTCTTTGTGCTATGAGAGTGTTTAAATTGATTGAGTTTTTTTTGCGAGCGATTAAAACGTTTGCGACATTAGTTTTTTTAAAGGGAAGGAAACTTAAATCCAGGATTGTCTAAGTTGTAAAGACTGGGACGCAGAGACACAATCTTATTCATGAAGCATTAAAGAACATCTGATTTTGAAATTTCAGTTTCGCCAATAAATTCAAATAACCCTTTCGAATATACGACTCTGATGCAATGTTGCTTAGCTCATATACGTCAATTGATTGTAAGAAGTTCTCTGTGAGGCCTTATAGTAAAGTATTGCAGTTCGTTGATCATTTTCTCCTTTGGATTGCTGCTTTCAGTTCCAAAGTTCAAACGTATGAGCATAATCTCTAATTCCGAAGAGAAATTGTCATATTTGAGTTGCCGTTAATATAACTCACTCTAGTAAACGTTTCACTACCACACTGGTAGAATGTGCCACTTAAGAAATCATTGGCCATCTCGCAAATTGTATCCTGTATTAAATAAATCATTCACATTAAGGTATAAAAGTTTACTCCTCTTTTTATGACAAAATAGACCACAAACACCCAGTCCCTTTTGTACCATAATTAAATGAAATGAACTTTTAAAGTAAACTGGAAAAAAGAGAGCCCATATTGAAGAACCACCACCTTTAGATGTGTTATCTGGGCCACCAGTGTTGGTCCACATGGTGAATTGTATTTGAGCTTGATTGACGGCTATCTTTCCCCGAATGGGTCTGAAAATGCAGTCATATCGCCAGGCAAATTTGAATAACCTTTTAGTGAACATAAAGAACTTTAAATTCTTACAATGTTCTGCCCTAACATACTTAAATTCAAAATGTTAATAATTATGCAGCCAAAAGAAGACAATTTTTACGATCCATCAAAACACGAAATCGCGTAAAATGGAGATTTAAAAATGCTGAAAATTTGCGAGCATTATTTGGGATGATTTGAACATTTAATTACGGGCTTGTCATTAGAAGCCAAACAAGCCAATAGTTTGACTGCTTTTGAGCTGATTTGAGCTCCGATTTAAAAAAAATGTGACTCTTGTACACCACTCACTTTATTTCCCTCCGAAAGCAGTTGAAAAAAATGTCGTCATATCTCTCGGAGACGGAGTATCTAAACGATGTAGGTGCACTTCAATAAGAAATAAATAGAAAGAACAATTTCATTCTATTTTCTGATCAGATTCATAGCACTTAAACTTAGACTTCAGCTTCCCCCATAGGTGGGGGGGGGTACATAAGCTTTGACTTCAGCTTCCCCCAAGGGTGGGGGGTACATATGTTGACTTCAGCTTCCCCCAAGAGGGGGGGGGTACATTTAAAGCAGTTAATTAATAGCAGTTCATTAGCAGTCTTCTTGCTTACCTTAATCTTTGACTTCAGCTTCCCCAAGAGGGGGGGGGGGTACATTTATAGCGGTTATTAACAGCAATTCATTAGCTGTCTTCTTGCTTCCCAGTATCTCTGGTTTTCCGTCGTTGCCTCGCTGGACATCGAATCAGGTGGGTCTTCTCCATTTCCTCCTCCTGGACACCAAATCAGGTGGGTCTTCTCCATTTCCTCCTGTAGGTTACATTAATCAGACTCCCTTGTCTCTAGGGCTGGACACCGAATCAGGTGGGTCTTCTCCGGCTAGACACCGAATCAGGTGGGTCTTCTCCATTTCCTCCTTAGGTTACATAGGGGGCATGTGGGTTGAGTGTATACTCCCACGTTACATGGAGGGCATGTGGGTTGAGTGTATAATCCCAATTTGTGAGGCCAGTGTATACTCCCAATCAGTGAAGGTGTTTTGCCAGGGAATCGTGTCCGGTACGTAGTCTAAACTCAGCAACGGCTTCGATTCAGGAGAGAAGCATCAAAGTCACTGAAGGTCGAGGGGGTAACAGAAGAATGATTCGGAGATGTAGGAGAGGCAGACACAAAGGTAGAGAAAAAGGTAAGGTAAGGTGAGTACTGTGGAAGTGTCTGGATATAATATACAGACGGGCCATGGTAGTTTGAAACCAGAAATCAACAGCCTGTTTAGAGACTTTTTATCGTATGAATATACGTTGTCCAGGGTGCACCACGTGGAGGCAAGTCTATAGCGCACCCCTAAATAAAGTTCACCATTTAATAATAAATAGCATTAATTCCTGTGAACAGACGGTTATAAAATTTCCCGGACGCGTCCTTGCAGAGGTGTTGAGTTTTATAATGAATATGTAGGCATTAAATATAGAATTCCAAAATAAGAGGAGCATATAGGAGATTGTTCTCACCCAAAAAATTCTCTGTCGCGAGTTTCTAAGCTGATAAAAATTAGGATCAAATTCCAATGATCAAGGAATTTAACCATCAATGAGAATAGTGTATTGGAGTCCGAAGATATGAATCAATCGTGAAGACCCTTCAATTCTAGCATATTATTGTTCAATTTGATGAATTGAAAATTGTAGAGAAGCAATGATTCGTCGATGATCTAACTGGTTCAATCAATTCGGGTTTCCCCTTGTCTACATGCTTTACCATAAAATAACAAGTATTTTTCATTTCCAATTCATTAATTTTACACTTGAAACAATAATGAGTAAAATTTTGCGTGGTAAATGTATTTTAATGGGTATAGATGTCTGGACCGCAATAGGATGAAGGGAATCGGGTTAAATTACGCACTTTACACATTTTGTCTGATTCGCCTCCGTTGCGATTCGATTTTGTTATTGAATTGGCAGCAGTGACCCTGGGCATATTAGTTCAAAGTTGCGCTTTACTGACAACCAACCATTTAAATTCAATAGACATCCACTTTGTCTCAACCTACTCAAGCCAGAGAATAGAATTGCCCTCGAGGGATTGTTGTCTGGCATGCTCCAAATAGTCTGCGAAAATAGTCACCTATTTGTAGAAATTTATTCAGGCAACAAAAAAAGGAAAGAACTTTTTGGCCCCAAAATGATCGACCATGGCAAACATGTATTTAGGCAATGGCACGATAAAGTTGGAGGAGGCTGGCAGGAAGAATTGAGGTGGGGGGGGGGGGGGGGGGTAGAATGAATTTCTATTTCAGCAGAAAATATTTAATTAGAAAATTAAAAGATCAGTTAGCGACAGTCGTGAGGAGATTTAAGTGGGATTAGATTTCTAGTCCTAGGGTGTGCAATAGACCTCCCTCCATGTGGGCACCCCGGGCAGCCTATACTCGTACGA